TAAAAGCCAGTACGATTCACGTGTTTTGTGTCTATATAATATGTCCCCAAGTTTTGCATGATTAAAATGTTTTGAACTCAACTTGTATCTGACTTGGTTTGCTTGGGTACAAGAAAACGGTTAAGTGTTCGGGAATTTAATAGCATCGTATTTGCACATGTTTGCACCCTTGTTTCTTAACCGTTTTAGCTCGAATTTATGGTTCCTTGGCCTATTTTACACTAGGTTGTGTTATTTTGTCATATTTCAAGTCCTAGCGAGTAAAGGGACGCATAGGTGCAAGTTTCGGGTCAATCGGAGGTCGTTTGGTCACTCAAAAGCCTCTCAAAAGTGGAGCTGGGGAATAAATACGGCCGTAATTCACAAATTACCGCCGGTATTCCAAAAATTACGGTCGTAATTCACAAATTACTGTCGGTATTTTTTATGCCGAGCCTGGTGATGGCTTAGGTATACAATACGGCCAGTATTCCCAAAAATACGGTCGTATTTTGTAGTGTCTAGCCTGTAATTCCACTACCGAGAGGAGCCTTGGATGCGCTGAGACTTAACCAAAACCTGCGTTTTGGGCAAAATAAGGGCATGAGTGAATTACGACCGTATTTCTGGCCATATTTCGTCCAGAATCGGGTTGAAAGAGGCAGACTCGAGCCAAAGGAAGGGGATTCGACTTTTTGGAGCAAAAAAGAGTTCTAGAGAGAGAAAGTGGGAATAACAAACCCTAGGAGCTATTTGGAGTGGATTTCTCACCATTGAAGCCCAGATTGCATCCCCAGGAGTGAAGATGGACATCCCAGAGCAGATTATTCCCATATTTATGAGTATGACTGCTTTAATTTATGTTTTCCTCTCTCTATGGAGTAGACCTTTCTCTCACTTGGGTATGAAGAACCCTAGTTCCATGTGTTAGGGATTTGAGTTGTAATGACTTTTGGATTGATATATTGTTTGATTATAATTGATTGAAGTGTGTTTATTGAGTCAATTGAATCCTGATCAAATTCTCTTGATTTCTGCTGCAACCTGTGATAGATAAAATAAAATTAGGTTGTTAGAGCTTCTTCAATTGATAGGAGTGGATTGATTATACGAGAGTTAGTTAATCCATTTCTTTGTACTGGAATCCAATTCTAGTAGTGAGTTTTGTGTTAACCGCCTTAGCGTTCTATCCCGATGAAGACTAGTCGTCTTCCATGTAGTCTGTCTGAGAGGGCTTGGTCAGCTTAAGAGATTCCAAGCTACTGTCGAATCTTCCGCAGTTTAATCAACAGTAAATCAAACAAAGGAAATTACAAATTGGACCTAACTAAGGAGATAGGGGGACTCATTTCCGAGTGACTCTTCTCTTGCTTCATGAAGCCAGACAATTTACTGCTTTCTTTCTGCTTTACTTTGAATTCACCTATACTCACTTAGTCCCGCTTGATAATAGAAGTTCACGGAGTAGGCAGTAGATCTAGACCCCGGGTTGATAAATTAAACTTACCACTATTCTGCTTTTCCGGACTGCGATTATACTTGGTCGCAATTTGGTGTTGTGTCATAGCGTGTCAAAAATCCTCTGTTTTTTTTTTTTTGGGAAATGATATGAGAGCATGTATTACTGATCTTGGGGTGACGTCGATCGGGAAAGGGCTGCCTGCCCTGCAATCGTTGGACGTGTCCAGTGTCCTATTGTAGAAAGCTAACGGACGAGGGGTAGTAACAGCAGTGGCCGAGGGTTGTCCCAATTTGAAAAGCCTCCAACTTGCTGGCTGAAGATTCGTCACGGACGGAATCCTCAAATCACTTTCCAGAAACTGCACCAGTCTTGAGGATCTCGGCTACAGGGATGCTCCAACATAACAGATTTTGGACTCTGAAGATCTCGTTGTAGGCTGCCACAGAATCCAGTTCCTGGACATCAACAAATACAACAATCTAGGAGATTCGGAAATCTCCAGTGTTTCTAAAAGCAGGTTCTGCTTCCTTAAAGACACTAAAGTTGTTGGATTGCTACAGAGTAGAGGATGAATCCGTATTTTCATTGGCAAGACATTGTTTGAATCTTGAGACGGTTATTAATCAGTGGCTGTCGTGACATCTCTGATGAGAGTATGAAGTCGTTGGCCAATTCATGTGACTGGAGCTTGAGGAATTTGAGGATGGACTGGTTTCTGGTTCTTCGCTGGGGTGTATACTCGCGGACTGCAGGAAGCTGGAGGCATTGGATATTGGGTGCTGCGAGGAAATAACCGTTGCTGTATTTGAAGGGTTTGGAATGGGGGAGAAGAATGGAGTGAGACTCAAGGTTTTGAAGGCGAGTAAATGCCCAAAGATCACGATGAGTGGGATAATCTTGATTTTGGGGAAATGCATGTCCTTGGAGTATCTAGATGTGAGGTCATGCCCATTCGTGACAAAGTTGGGATGTGACGAAGTTGGTTTGCAGTTTCCTGAGTGTTGTACAATACTAGAGATTGGTGATTGTCATGTGTTTATTAATGCATCAAGCATATGTTAATTTTGATTGAATCATGTGTAGTTTATTTGTGGAAAGATTGTGATAAATTCATTCGTATTATGCGTACCATTATGAATAATATAAAGCTGCAACTGAATCGATCTTTGAAATGTCCAGGTTCTGTAACTGTACAGTAAGAGCTGAATAGACAAGGCTGGCTGCTTGAATTTGTGACTGCCAAGCTTGGGGGGTGATGGGGAAGACAGATTATGGGAGATCCATGGTTGCTGCTATTCCTTTCCTTCCAGCGGGATAGGTAACGAATTGTTTTAAGCCTCTACTTTGGCTACGAAGTTGTTGTATTTGTTGCACATATGACCAAAAGAACTATCTTGTGAGGTTCAATTTTCAATTGTAAAATGCCAATTAAAATGCAACCTCAAGTACCGACAAAAGAAGATTAGAAATACCTCTTTGATGGCGTTCATTCAAACCGTGTTAACTTAATTCAATCATTGTGTCCCAGCTTAAGGGATTTTAATCTAATTTACAGCTTACATCTTTACATTTCTGGGCTCTAATCCCCTCATTGACTAATTATATTTCACTTGGTAGTTACTGCAGCCATTTCTAGCTATGTCCTCTTTATTACATGTCAACATGAGACCGAGACAACTAGTTGTTGTATATACCTTGGCAACTGGAAAAATCATGTTGATGCAGTAGTAGTCTTCATGCAGCTGGACATGGCCTGCTCGACGTACTTGAAAGCTTTCTTGTAACTCAAGAAACCCATGAACAAGAAATCGAAACTGTCCTCCGTCACTACCTGCATGTACTTCTGCGAAGGCTTCTTCGTGTTCTCACTCTGGTTTGCCCTCTCTATCTTCTTCAATGGGATCACAACCTTGTAGTGAAGATGGATTTGCCCTCGGGCGATGACAGCTGAATTGATCTCTCGCTACAGAACGTGAGCTTGTGAGTTGAAATGAAGAGGAGTCCAGCAATTGGCCCCGACGTTGTCGACAAATAGCACTGGCAAGCTTTCAATAGCCTCTCCCCTTCACTCACACGGAAGAACTGCCTGAACAGTTTTTCACATCTCCTACTTGCAGAATCCGCGCCCCCAAGGTTAACTTCCCTTTCAAGGTCTCACTAATGTTGTTCCCAAGTTTCACTGCAACCATTAAAATCAAATACATTTATTGACAGGCTATATAAATTTGATCTCTATATATCCTTTTGCAACACTGTATGTTAGAACTTAGAACTACGGGCGTAAGGCCATTAAGGAACTTACCATGTTTGCGGATTCCGTGTGTGAATTTATCAGCCTTCTTCACCAGCTTGTTCATCCTTTTGAGCATGGAATCCACTCTGCCTGCAATAGTATTTTGCAACCATACATTTAATAACCGCTCTACAGCGATCAAACAATCAAGAAACAAGTTTTTCCCCTTGAATGGGTTGATGGGTTTATAAGATGGTTGGTTAATTACTTTGTTTGAGCATGAGAGATTGGTAAGTTGGAGTTAGCATGTAGCGGTAAGCGTCAGTATCTTCGAAGAGTAAGGATCTTGGCGCCATTCTTTCAGCTGGTGAGGTGATAGGAAGACCCATAACTTGTCCCTGCTGCAGAATATGATGCCTTCATTTTTTGCAGGATGCAGGTTTGGAGTTGAAGCTTTCTTCTTCTATCAGTTGGTGATGAGAGGATTGTGCTGGTGGAAGAAGAATGAAGGAGGGGAAGATATATAAAGGGATCGAAGGAATGACATCAGCACCAGCTTTCTGACTTTACAGGCTGCATGAGTCAGCAATGAATCACTAACAAGAACCAAAAGGGAGGAGATTAGGGGGCAAGGGCATATTGACACTGAGTCAGAAAGTTGGATTTCATGGCTCTCATCACGTAATTGCTGACCAATCTATTATTTTTCTAAGATAAGATTTTGAACAAGAGGGAGTAGGTCCTAGAAACGTCGGGATCCACCTCAGACATCACACTACTTTATGTCCAGAAATGAAATATCTTTAACTAGCTGCAATAGAAGAGTTCATAAGGATATTGATGTTTTCAAATCTTGTTCATTGATGGCCATTTATGTAGTGGCATTATTTTTCTATCAACTTGGGAGATGAGACCATTATTTCTAGCTGAATTGGAAAGTTTACTTGGTTTGAGGGTGACTTCCCAAAAATGTGTCCTGAGGGATTCAGAAAGAAACTAGATTGTGAACTTTTGTAATAATGAGACGTTTTCAAAAAAAAAAAAAAAGATCCCTCTTCGTCAACAATCAACGCGGGGTCACTAAGGATTCAGAAGAAAACTAGATAGTGAACATATGTAACATGAAAGGGTTTATCTCGATTATGGAAGTTAGAGTTTGGGGTATTACGATTTACGAGTTAGTCTCTTTCTCTCCAACACACACACATGGCCTTTCTCTCTCTCATGCTATTCGAGAAGTAACAAAAAAAAAAACTCTAGCTTGTGAGGTTCGAGTTCCAACAAATTGAAGTAGCAACAAACAGAAGATTAGAAAAGCTCTTTGATACCGTCGAATCGAACCGTGTTAACTTGATTTCAATCATTATCCCGGATTAAGGGATGTTAATCTCATTTACATCTTAAACTCTTTACATCTGTGGGCTCTAATCCCCTCACTAACTATGCCCTCTTCAATTCTCCATTACATATCAACATGACACAAAGTATCTAGCTACTAAGCTTCAACGAGTGGCAAAATCATATTGAAGTAGTAGTAGTAGCCATCCTGCAGATGGACACAGCCTGCTCAACGTACTTGAAAGCTTTCTTGTAACTCAAGAAACCCATGAACCAGAAATCGAACCCGTCCACCGTCACCAATTCCATATACTTCTGCGACGGCTTCTTCGCGTTCTCGCTCTGGTTAGCACTCTCTATCTTCTCTAGTGGGATCACCACCTTGTAGTGAACTCGGATCGATTTTCCCTCGGGCGATGACAGTTGAATCGATCTCTCACTGCAGAATGCGAGCTTGTGAGTCGAAATGAAGAGGAGTCCAGCAATTGGACCCGACGTCGTCGACAAATAGCACTGGCATGCCTTGAGCAGCCTCTCCCCTTCACTCACACTGAAGAACTGCCTGAACACTTTCTTCACACCTCCCACTTGCAGAATCCGCGCCCCCAAGGTTAACTTGCCTTTCAAGGTCTCACTGATCTTGTTCCCAAGTTTCACTGCAACCATTTAAAATCAAATACATTTAGTGACAGGCTATATACATTTGATCACTATATAAAATCCTTTATCGACACTGTATGTTAGAAACGATTAAGGAACATACCATGTTCGCGGATTCCATGTGCGAATTTGTCAGCCTTCTTCCCCAACTTGTTCATCCTTTTAAGCATGGAATCTACTCTGTCTGCAGTAATAGTATTTGCAAATTGCAACCATACATTTAGTAACCGCTTGCGACGATCAAACAATCAAGAAACAAGCTTTTCCACCTTCAATATATTTATGGGTTTATGATTGTGGTTAGTCAATTACTTTGTTTGAGGATGAGAGATTGGTGAGCTGGAGTAGGCATGTAGCGGTAAGCGGCGGTATCTTCGAGGAGTAAGGGCCTAGGGGCCATTCTTGCAGCAGTTGATGCTGATGATGAACTGATTGGAAGCCCCACAACCTGTCCCTGCTGGAGAAATGATGCCTTCATTTTTGCTGGTTTCGAAGCTGTGAACTTAGCTTGCTTCTTCTTCTTGTTGTATCTGTTGATGATGATGAGAGGAGATTGTGTTGGTGGAAGAAGAATGGAGGAGGAGGAGGGGAGATATATAAAGGGAGGGAAGGAGGGGATGTCATCAGCTCTAGCTTTCAGACTTTACAGTCAGCAATGAATCATTGACAAGAGCCAACATGGGGAGAGAAGGGCATCTAGACACTGACTCAGAAACTTGAGTTTTTTCCCCCCTTTCCAAGATATTTTCTACCCCTTGGTGTCGGTAGGTTGGTTGGGGCAGTTTCTACTTTTGCTTTTTTTTCTTTCTTTCCTCCCCCATGTTTGTGAAGGGGATTTGGGTGATTAAAGCTTTTTTCCCTGAGCTGGCTTGTTAACTTTCTGATGCAAGCAAACAGCTCCTCCTCCATCCTCTTTTACTTTTTTTGTCCAAAATTTCTGATCCCTTAATGAGAAGGCAAAGGGCACAACACCCTTTTTAGGAGCTGAATCTAGTGTGCAGGTGGTGTGATCATTCTCCATCTCCCTCAAATTGGTATGGCAGAATAGGTGGTAACATGCATCCAACTGCCCTAAAACCAACTCTCTCTCTCTCTCTCTCTTCTCTCTTTTCATTCTTCAAAAACAACCAACTCTCTTCTTAATAAGCAGACCATGATGATATGCAGCCACTCATATCCCAGCATTGCATGTGAGCAGTGGAATGGTGCTTATCAGTTTTCCATGTCATCCTAGGCAAGCTGAGGTGTCACTGACTGGGCTCCAACTCTCTCCCGTTCCTTAATCAACAACATTAGATAATACTATGGTCTCTCCAAGAACCCAAACAAAGACTGGTCTGGTCGTGGTTGGCCTTCTGACTTTCATCATGCTGTCTTGTTGTCCTACTCATATCTGCATCATCAACCATCTTATCCTTTTGCACGTTTCATTTAAGAATCTTGTCCCCAGAGGCAGAACAGATCAAGTTAAATATAGAAAAAGTCAGAAAAAAAAACAGCCGACTGTGCATGCCTTTGGGTCTGACTGCAGTTAAATGTGAATGAATTCATTCATTTGATGGTGATCCTTTTCTTCCTTAACACAAACCTCATCTATGACTATATTATATAGTATGCTTTTATGGAGTTTTGTTGGTGATAGCTGCTCTTACTTATCAAGGTTAGAAACACATACTCAATATATTGAGAACTGTAGGGTACACACAGTAGAAAAAAGATAAATGCATCAAGTAAATGGTTAGAGGTAATTGAGTTCATTGGAATTCCATTTCATTGTAGCCATGGTCTTACTGTAGTATGTACCATTCATTCACCTAGAGCTAAATGGAGTTGAGCATTTGATGTCATGGCTCAATACTGTAAAGTAAGCAGTACATGTATGTATCAGTGGCGACAAGACCAGTGACGATCAGATTTAGTGATGAAACTCAAGATTTTCCATTTGACTTGATCGATGATGATATACTAGAAGAAAATTTCCTACTCATAAAAATTGTACAATAACTCATCACCCCCATCACCTAGCTAATTACAACTAGTACCCAAATCTCTGGTTCATCGAGATGGCCCGTTGAAGGTGTTTGAAAGCTTTCTGATGATTCAGGAACCCCATGAACCAGAAGTCAAATTTGTCCAGTCACAACTTCCACGTACTTCTGAGACGGTCTCTTTGCATTCGCACTCTCTTTCGATCTTGCAGAGTGGAATCAATACCTGCAGTAACAGCATCAACACAAACAAAGAAAGTTGGATGTTCTTGGTGGATGTTCTTGGTCAAGCAAACACAACAAAGTATAGCTATGTACCTTGTACCGCACTCTGATCGATTCCCCATCCGGTGACGAGAACTTGATTGACCTCTCACTGCAGAACGCGAGCTTGCAGCTCGACATGAACAAAAGCCCTGCAATTGGACCAGCCGTGGTAGAGAGGTAGCATTGTGAGGCCTTCAACAACTTCTCATCCACATCAACACTGAACAATCGCCTGAAGATTCTCTCCACCCCTCCACCTTGAAGAAGCTTAGCCCCCAAGCTCAACTTGCCTTTCATCCTCTCACTGATCTTCAGTCCCAGTCTCACTGCAAGTGTTTCAAATCAATGCTTTTAACTTAAGCTAATGAAAGAGTTCAATCCAGTTCAGTATCAATGGGCGGTTTGTTCAAACTTTATTGGTATCTTACCATGCTCCTTAACACCGTTGGCAAAGCTGTCAGCTTTCTTTCACAAGCTATTGATCCTTGTGAGCATCCCTTCTTTCCTCCTGTCATGCCCTCGTTTCAAGTCCTGAGAACCTATGGTAGTGCGAGATCTGTTATTGGGGCAATGTGCCTGATCAGCTGGTGCAGTTAAGTATCCTACTGCAGAATGTGGCTTCTTTACCATGTGTGACAGTGAGCTGATACGAAGTCCTACACCGAGTTGAAATGGGTTCTTCATCTTGCGCCTTGTTGGGATTAATGCAGTGGTTAGCTTTGATTGAGTTGCTGCAGATGAAATTCAAAGGAGATGGAGATATATACATACCATGTCACAAGGAGATGGGAATTCAAAGGAGATGGGATTAAGTAAGAGACATTAGGAGTGGGGTTGAGTCATGTATAGCTCAGCAACAGATGACATTCGGAGAGAAATGAGCAGCTAGCTACTTGCTGCTGCAGTTGATCGAACAACCCAATCAGCTTTCCTACCATGTGAGTGCAGGGACGGAGCCAGCTTGCTGGCAGGGGGGGCCATGGCCCCCCTAAGTTTTGAAATAACTTACAATACCGAGTAGATTTCATTGTTGGCAACTAGCCCAACTGGTTGGGATGTTGGCTCCTGGCACTATCTACTGCATTGGTCCTGGTTCGAACCAGGGAGAAGGTAAAATTTTTTCTCCTTTTTCTGATTTCAAGTTAAATTCCTCCTTACATCCTCATCGTTATTTTTTTTTTAGAATCTAATGAAATATTTTCTTGATCTAATCCTTAAATGATGTAATTGTTCTTAATTTTTTTGAAGTTAAACCGTTTTTATTAGAAGAAAAAAATTTAAATAAGTAATTCTTTTTTAGTGTTTTGTAAGAATCTAATGAAATATTTTCTTGATCTAATCCATAAATGATGTAATTATTCTTAATTTTTGAAGTTAAACCGTCGTTATTAGAAGAAAGCAATTTAAATAAGTAATTGGTTTTTAGTGTTTTTTAAGAATGTAATGAAATATTTTCTTCATGAATTTACAGAATGTTGTGCTATTTGATTTCATTGCATGTCCTTGTGACTGGAATTGTATTTTGATTGCAATAAAATGTGAAATCTTATCCATGAATTATTAATCACATAATTTTTCGTAGTTAAATCATCAATTATTTGTGCAAATCTATGAAAAAAATTCTTCAACTTAATTTTTTTCTTCATTGTGTCATGGGGAAAAAAGGGAAAAAATTTGTCGGCCCCCCCTAATTTCAAATCCTGGCTCCGTCCCTGTGTGAGTGGCCGGCAGCGCAGTAGTGAAAGTCGGCAGGAACAGTAGAGGGTTGCGAATCTCAAAAGTGAGCAATGTCACGAGTTGCCATGGTGGAGAGGAAAATGGGGTTGGTTACATTATAACGAGGAGATGAAGTTTGACTGACTGGAACGCAGCATGCAGACACAGGCATACCCAAATTCAAAAGCGTAATCTTCTGATCTCACACTTTTGGCTCGATTTGAGGGACTAGTAGGCCATGGATGATGATGATGAGATTACAAAGCAAGCCGTGTTAAAACTTAAAAGAGAAAAAAGGGCGATCGGATCGGATCGGATCGGAGGCGTTGGCTTAACGGGAAAGGAAAGTCGGGAAAAAGCAAGCAGCTGTCGTTGGTGAATGACATATGGGAAGGAGATACCACCAAATTGGGCCAAGTTCGATCGCTGGATCAACAAAACCAAGGATAGCTCTAAATTGGGCCTTCCATTTTGTTGGCCCATCTAACCATGAATAAATATTTAAAGACGAAAATCGCTCCAAAAGCACCCAAAAAAACGTCAGTAAATTGGGCCTTCCATCCATGTTGGCCCATCTAACCTTCCACCCGTCATTTGTTCGGTGGATTTGAAAAATGAGGGTTTTGGAAAATAAAAACCTTGAGATTCATGATCAGAGTCGTTTGCTTGTTGGATTTGGAAAATGAGGGTTTTGGTTAAAAAAACATTTACATTTATGAGGGATTTTTGCATTATGGATTTGAAGAGTCTATTGTTTGCATGATGGATTGGATGATATAATTATGATGGATTTGTTATAAATATAAGGGTTAATACAATTTAATAGCCAAACCTTTCATTTTAAACAAAATACTAGCCAAACCTTTTCAAAAACAATTTAATAGCCAAACCGTCAACTTTCCGTCCGGTCAACCGTTAGTTGACTTTGACGTGGCAAAATGTTTAATAAATTTTCAATGACGTGGCAACAAGTAAAAAATTTGACTTGCCACATGGATATACCAAAAATTAATTTCTGTTTAGAAAAGAAAATAAATTAAAAAGCCACTAAAAACTAGCCACCACTCTATTATCTCCTTGCCTGTTCGCATCCCGCCATCCCCTTCTCTCCAATCTCCATCGAAACTCCATGCTTCCATTTCCAATCCTCCGACGAAACCCAGCCATCGTTGCCCACCGTAGAACCAAAAGCCTCGCCGTCGTTACCTAATCCCTACGTTGTTGTCGACACCTACCACCCAAGCTAACGAGCTATTGCTGACAATTACTCGAACGCTACATAGAATCGCCAAACGTGCAACGCTTGCTTCGATTCCACAAACGAGCTTACATCTTTCTCACCTTTCAACAATACGAAGAGAATGAAAATAGAAATCCCCAGCAAACCTGGGTTGCCTTGAACAGACTCAATCCACTTTGAGAATCCAAAATCAACTCCACTCCTGTTGCCGCCACTCCCCTCCACACCATCCAAATCTAAACAAATTAAACTGAAACCCATTTATCTATGTCCCAAACTAAGAGAATCAAAAGCTAAATCCAATCAATATATTGCCCAAATCCAATTCCCCAAATCCCCTACTCTTCCTGCTTCCAAATTCCCTGTGGCTCTTCCTCTGTTATCCCTTTCCTTCCCCTCGCTCTTCCTCGCTTTCGATTCCCCAAATCCAAACTGCTTAATCGCTCTAGCAATCGTCGGCGACGCCATTTAAGAACGACGGGTCGAACTGGAGTGTCGAATCTTTGCTTGTTTCCATGGAAGGAGGTAGGTGAAAGCATGACGGGAGGAAGCGGAGGTTCTCGGACGACGAGGTGGTTGCTGCTAATGAAAACATTTGGGAGATATCGAGGGTTTCGAAGTTTCTTGGCCGGAGAAGAGAGAGGGGAGGAGAGGGGAAGGGATGGAGAGTGTTCCATTATTGTCTTTTTATTTGTTTTAATAATAAATAATTAGTTTAAAATATGTATGTGTGGCACAGTTAAATAATTGTCATTGCCACGTCAGCACGAATTAGCCACATAAGAGTCAACTAACAGTTGACCAGATGGAAAGTTAACGGTTTGGCTATTATTTTGTTTTTTGAAAGGTTTGGCTATTCTTTTGTTTAACCGCAAAAGGTTTGGTTAATATATTGTATTTACCCTAAATATAACAAGCCATCAAGGATTTACAAATTTTACCCCAATATATGGAATTTACAAGTCCGTGGGGTCCATGGATTTGGATAAAAAAGGAACAAATCTGCGAACCCCACGAATTTAACACCTATTAACAACAAACAATCGACTTGACTAAAATCCATCGTACTTGAAATTTGAGTACCAAATCCATCAAGCAAATAGCCCAATATAACGGGGAATTGCATTGCAGATTTGCAGGTAAGAAAGAGGCCAATAGCAGGAGTCCCACCGAAGTTGCATTTTTTCTTATGGCAATGTATCCACAGAATCCTCTTAACAAGGGAAGCCTTATCCATCAGAGGTATTGATATCATTCCGGTTTGCCCTGTTTGTGGTCAGAAGGAAGAAACAGTTGAGCATTTGTTCTTCTTTTCCCTTTGGCTAGAAAACTTTGGCGATTGGTGGGTCTCAATGATGATTTTTGTCGATGGCACAAATCTTCTTTCATTGGTTTTATTAGGCATTCCTTGGATAAAGAACGTGGGAAGGAAGTGGATTATCTTTTTTTGCAGGTGATTTGCTTACTTTGGCGGTTGTGGAAGAATCGTTGCTCGATTTTCTACGACCGCAAACAAGTACGACTTGAAACATTAGCTGCTCAGTGGAAGCACCAGGTCAAGGAGAATGACGAAGCGCTGCTAAATCGAGATCAAACTCATGCTGTTCCGGGGAACCATCATCATCATTCTACTATAGATCCTTAGAGCAATGATGAATTGTTTCCTTTTAAAGGAGCTTTTGATTGTGCTACTCATGTGGACAAAGCGGGGATTGCGGCATTTGTACTTTGGGATGTTGCAGGGTCTATATATTATCACAGCTCAAGCAAATGCTTATTATGGGTGCCATGATGCTAATATATTAGAGACCTTGGCGCTGCGAGACTGCCTCCTTGAGTGTTGCAGAAGATCGCTGACAAATTAAATGTTCTGGTGGAAGGGGATGCAAAGTTGATTAATTATCGATAAAGCTAGGGATGGGTTGGTCAGTGATGGTAGGATTGGGAGTATTTTGTAGGAAATTGCTATGCTCTTGGAGGAGGTCCATTGTCCCTTGCTTCGATTCGTTGGTCGTGCTAATAACGGAGTGGCTCATTCTGTAGTCAAGAAAGCTTTGTCTTTGTCATCTCGAGTTCAATCGGGATTCGATTATGTTTCATAGTTGCGTTCTAGATAGATGTATGTTTGTAACTTGACTCTTTCTTACCTATGGTTTAGAGGGATCGAATGACACAAAAAAAAAAACCAATAGCAGGAGCGAGGGACAACGGAACCAAACTAGGGATGAATGCAACTCTTTCCGACCTCCATCAAACCTTCCCTTCCCTTAACTTACCAGGAAATTGCAGGAGGCGATCCGATGAAGAAGCAGTTGCAACTTAGAAACCAATTATTATTATTATTATTATTATTACTATTATTATTATATAATTAATAGCGCAAGTTAGCTCTTAATTATGTTTACGGTTCCTTACGAAATTTTAGCCATCTCCAATTAATAAGGAGTCTTTGGTTCCGGGTTACTGTTCACGGGTGTGGGCAGATCCCTTGTGGCAGCTCCTACAATATCAATCCTAAAAGCATCCACATCAATGGTATTTGCTCAATTATAAATCCTACATGACACTCAATATGCAAAGGGGATTGCACCAATGTAGTGGCCACTTGCAAAAATGCAAACTTGCATTAAATGAAATTGAATATGCAAGCCACATAGGAAAATAAAATAAAAAAGTTATATTTTCACTCTTGATTTTTATTTTTTATTATAAAATTATTTAGTATTACATTGATA